TACCATCACCACTGGAATCGTTAAAATGTACCCTTTTCACTTGCATTTGAGGCACTCGTTCAAAGGTTAACCCCTTTCGCTTGATGAAGGTTTACTTCAGTTTCTACTCAAGCTTATCTACATGAAGGGTGAGGTTCAAGATCAGATGCTCCGATTAACATGAGCTGCCACTTCTGACTGTTCATATGATATTGTAAGTAAAAGATATGAAAAATGTAAATCAAAAGTACTCCTTAGTATGAGATGTTGCTCTCGTACTCTCTTATATGGTGGCATGGGAGAGAAGTATGGGGCAAACACCATTCAGATGATATATTTGTATGGATCTACAACAAACGATATCCGATATGCGATCAGTCGATCGTATCTTGCATGTTTTAAATTATTTCTAGCGACTAGTATCTTTTTTCTTCAGACTGTTATGGAATAAACCCTGTTCTTAAATTTTGCACTTTCTTTTCATGCTTCTGCATTGTAATGATGAGAAAAGCGCTCGAATACACTAATGGAGTACGTAATCATTATGAAATTAGGTATCAACGACCGTTTCATTCATTTGCTAAACAGAATTTCGGTATTTCGAACATTCTTAACTGTCAGCTGTACTAATTGTGAGCTTTTCTTATTCCGACAGATTTTTCAGAAGTTTACTAGGCTCACAAGTCCAGATAACCCATGTTTTGTTAGTTATTTGACGATATTTCACAATGATAATGAAACGATTCAACAATGATCGGTGGTGTTGTTATTGATCTTTGAGAGATAAAATACGATTCATGTTCACTTCAGCTATCCTGCAGTCATGCAGCAATGAAACATTGCGCTCTGTCTTCCTGATGAACGATCAGAAAAAAAATTGAATCGGATTCAAGAAATCCACAGATTCTAGCTGCGGATTCGTTTATCATTATATCGATATTAATTGTAATGAAGTCAGAACACTGCCGTCATTAAGTTATTATTAGCGAATTGTTGTTTGATTTGTTTGAGTGGAGGTTGTTGCGGATGTGCGCGAGAATTCTTCTATTTACCATCTTTTAACTGTGGTCAAGTCGGGCGTATTACTAATTACATTTTATCGCTTTTGATCATCTCGTCGCAAAGAGCACCGCAATCACTTGTGCGATGAACACTGTAATTTCTTAGGCATTTATGCATGAATAGCAATTTTCTCCTTTTATCAGCCTCACTCTGTTTTCATTTGATCATGCCAGCAATCAATTTCCGTCATTGAAGTGTCATTAGCAGTTCTTTAATTGCATCGCTATTCAAGACGATGCATTATGATGAACTACAGTTATTTATACCTTCTGATGTACTCACAACCAAGTTTCTTCAACAGTTACAATGAAATTTTTCTCTGCTCGATTTCTGGAAATTTTCATACATTTGCAAGAATTTATTAAGCGCTTGTAGAGTGGAATGTCTGTCTTATCGTTTCACTGTTGATGTAGAGCGCAGAAATGAGTTTTGAATGAATGAATTATTGAAAAAAATTTCTCTTCTAGATGCATTTCCGTCTAAATTACTTATTGTTAGATTCGAAAGTACTTACATTGGAAAGTTGAAAACTCTCAAACACGCTCATCAACTAAACCAGATATTTGCAATCCACATTCCGTGATCACTAGCGAAAGGTCAATTAAATTATCGGAATGAGATATTCCAGCTCCCGATTAAATTTCTTATTTTGTGAAATTTTACCGTTTTCACATTTACTGCATTGATGGGATGATCACTTTTAACAGGGCAACTGCGATAAAATTGACTTCACAATTTTATAGGTAGATAAATAGCGGTTCATCTATATAGTGTGTAATATATTCAGATGTTACTAATAGTAAATATTCAAATTGTCTATCAGAGAATCTGTTATTCAAAATTTCGCACAACTGCGCAAATTTCACATTTTTATTGATTTTGATAAATTCGAAAGGAATATTTGCTAAAGAGTTGCGCGAAAATGTGAATTTTGAGAAAGCGATCGTATGGAAAAGTTGTTGGAAAATTTGATGCTGATAATTACTTTCGGATAAATCAGAAATGAAATGTAATGACATGGAACAGTAATTTGTGCAGAGCTAATTTCAAATGAATCGAAGTGCGTTGCTGGTCAGTGCCTCATTGGACTCGAATTTCAACGTACCTAACTGGTTAAGGATTGTTTGCAATTTCGAAAACTGCAGAAATGGATTGAATATTTTGTAGTTGTAATGATCTTAATCGTAATTGAGTGCAAGCTTGCGTTCCTCTTCTGTCATTTTTATTTTCTGACTTTTTTGTAAGAAGCAAGAAAGTGTGGAAATTATGCTCGGATTGAATAGGGTGGAGCAAACACGAGTAACGCAACACTGAGCATGTGCAAATCATGAATGAACGCATGAATTTTATGCGGTTTAAGCGCGAGTGAATGTAATTTAGTGCAGTGTTCAACGGTATTTCACTGTGTTGATTTCTTGTTGATGTGATGATGTCAATTTTGATTTGTTTGAATGATTAGATATTCATATGTATTCGGTTGATATGATGTTAATTTTCATTCATACGGATAGAATTATATGATGCTGTTTTGATTGTTTAGATTTTCCACATATACCGTTTCGTATATCGTATATCTGATCAGCCAGGAGATGACTAAATTTGGACGAATGATTGCTACTATGTAATTGATCTTCAGTGAGTCTCATAAGAACCTATATGTTGTTCCTTATTAAACGCGACATAATTTGATGCCACATCTGAGTTCAACTAATTCAGTCAATCGCATCCGAAGCAAAAATTTTGCGATGAAAATGTTTTGTACTTTTTGGAATTCCCGTTCGAAAGCTTTGATTTTGTTAAAGTTTTTTGATGCTTTATCATCCTTATTTGCATTTTTACATTTGAATTGTTAGATGATTTCTCTCGTAACTAACAGCAAGTTTGGAACTCATAAGATAATAACGAAAATTTGACATATCTGCAAGTGTTTTCAATTATAATTTGTGTGAATAATGATGTCATATATTCTTCCTCAAAAAAAGAAGCAGAAAGTTGATCTAACGAAGTGGCAAATTGTTTTGAAACTTTTGTTTGTTTCAAAACTCACACGTCATTGAATTTTGAGCTGAGAGCTGAATGGGACCTTTCAGAAATCACTAAATTCACTAAAAAAATACCTCATCACAGTCAAACAAAACTCTCATCATCGTTTTCATCAAACAACGCCAACAATAAAGTTCAATTCAGAGTACCATTTAATTTCGTTTCATCCGAAAAAAAGTACGATTTTCGATGAGGAAAAAAGCCAAAATTGTACCATCTCGAGATTGGTACTCACTATTGTATTCCTCTCAGTGAAATCAAGAAATAAGAATAATGGTAAGACGGATGTATGAGAAATACCTAAACAAACAACACAAGCAATGCGCTACATTGAAATAAGATGTCTCACATATGCGCACACTGTACACTCTTGATCTGGAGCTCGTGTATGTAACAACATTTACACACTCTTAAGCTCGAATACGCGCATTGAGTCAATATCAAGCAAGCATTGCCCACAGAATGGTTCATTGAATCGTTTGAGTTTTATTGGCGATCTTATTCATTCTAAAGATCTCGAAGAAAAGGATCCAAACCTAAATGAAACATCACTGAATAGGAATTTTAGATGGGAATTGAATTGTATGCGATGAGAGTTGATGACATAAATTTCATTGACGGAGATTAATAAATTTCGACGAACTATAGAGAAATTGTGATCAGTTTACCTATAAAAATGCCGTAAAGTGAAAGAAAAAGTTTTTGTTAAAGTGTCAACTTGTCAAGCAAGCAAACAAACACACAAACAAATCAACAGAAGTTTCCGAGATATTGTCAAACATTTCGCTCACAACTCTTCAGTGAGCCCCGTGTGGCTTGCTCGAATGCGCAATCTTTTCTGCAGCCTATTGCGAATGAAATGAGTGCTTCCTGGTGTGCAATATAGCAATGCCTTAACCAAATTCAAGCAATCATCAGCTTATTACATTGCAACTTATCGTCAAAATCTCATTCCATTCGATTCACTTTCACTACAGATCTCCCTCTTTTTCTCTTGATCTGCAATGTTTTCATTTGGTCTTGAGGTGTTTTCTAAAATTGGAGATATTTCTTTATTATTTTCTCATTAATATCATTGTGCATATCATCATATTGTTGAAGATTTCTTCTATTCAGATGTAATTTCTTGACAAGTCCAGAATTAGAACTTTCGCTGAAGTCCTCTGGTTATTTAACAAAATATTTGTCAATGTAATTGCTGACATCGAAATTTTTAAGCAACAAACTGATAAAACATTCAAGAAACAATCCAGAAATTTCACTAATTCGAAGAATTACTCGTTTTATAGCTCTTTCACTACAATTATTCGCATTATACTGGGTGACCAAGCACTTTGCCATTTGCATTCAGTTCCAGTAATGTGGCATGTCTGTTAATCAGAGAATGTGCAATGAAATCAAAAAGAATATTTGTTACAGTTCAAAGTGGTCAAATCATTTCGTTACTCTAAAATTAATTGTCTCAATGCTCTGTTCTAGTAAATGTGTAAAATTTCTTCGAATTACACAACAATTCACCGATTCGCAATCGTTGAATTGTTGTGTAATCGTGGAATTTCGATTTAACTAATGTTGTCCCTACGAAATTGTTCTAATGATAATTAGAAATGACAAGCGTTCAATTCACGCTGACAATTACGTCAATAGAAATTCGTTTGCAAATCAACATTTTTGCTATCAAAATAAATCGCACAAAAACTTGATCTCAACCAACAATAAATTGAGGCACCTTTACTCTGTAGTGCTCACTTTATTGCATTATGCGATGACGACTTTAGATTTGAGAATGCTTAATTCAAGCAACGCTTTCGGAGTCAAATTCATTGGCCAATTTGAATTTTGACTGCTGAATTTCGGCTCTAAATTTTGAATCTTTTGAAGGAATTGCTGAATTTTGAAGACGTTCAGTTCACGTAATGTTACGTATCGATGTTGATCTCCGTGAGCATGTTGGCAGCGATGAGCCTGAACAATCTGAGCAATCCATTATTAACAATAAAAAGGTATTTGTGATTTGTATGAAAACTTTGAAGGTGTTCTGAAGTTTCGTTTTTTGATGGTTTGAGTTAAATGGAACAATGGTAATGATTAGATAATTGCTTTTGAAGGCGAATAAACCACTGATGGAGAAGCGACGTCGGGCTCGAATCAACAGATGTCTACACGAGATGAAGGAGATGCTAGTGGATGGCTTTCAAAAGGCAGCTGTAGGTCTTAAGTTGCAGTTTCTGAAGTAGATAATCCTGTTGAAGAGACAGTTTGATCAGACTTTGATCATATTTCTACTCCTTAAACATAGATCGAATTCTTCGAATGATCAATTTTCTCATCTAAGCCGAGAATTTTAAAGACTTCTTGATATCCTCATAAAGTTAAATGCCTCAGAGTTGGTTACATTAAGAGATTTTCGAAAAATACAATTTCGATCCTGTAGATTTGCATATTTTCAAAGTTCACATAGGTGCACACGCTCAGTATCAGTTGCCTTTGAATAGGAACTCAGATTTTTCGAGTGTTTCTTCGTATCAAGTCACAATAATATTCACAAGAAATTGATCATCTATTTTTTTTCAATATTCTTATACTCAAGAAATTTCTCCTATAAGATGGAATTTCGTGAAATTTCAGTCACCTGGTCAGTCAAAATGGGAGAAAGCTGACATATTAGAGATGAGTGTTGCGTATATGAGGCAAATGCAGAAGCACAGAATAAAATTACCACATGGAAGAGCTGGATATAACAATAAAGCTGGTAATACCCTTTAAATTCCATTGATCTGTTACCAAATTTTCGAGTAGTACGAGTCCGGGTTCAGACAGACTAACATTGCGCTGTGTTCAGATTTTTTTGGTCGACTCGATATGAATATTTTACTTCATAATTGTTGAACAGAGAATGTGGTGTACCGAAATGAACAGATTCGGATTTTTTTCTTTAATTGGGATGAGATTAGCGAATCGAAATAATTATCGCTTGATAGTGCTGATGAGTATTGGTGTTATGATCGTAAGAATGCTGCTATAATTTTAAGAATTAGATGATCGAATCGCTGCTCAGCAAAAGTCATCGCCATCCATTGTCGAGGGTTTCTCAGAATGTGTTCGAGAAATCCAACGATTCAATAGGGATGTTAAACTGATCACATCGTCAGCCTCGACAGTGATCGATGAGTACAGCACAAAACTTGTTCAGCATCTTACAATTCAACTGCATAAATTGGCTATGCAACAAATGCATCTCACCAAGGTTATCTATTGTTTAATTTCTTTTGCTATCCTGAGAATTCCATTTATTTCGACTGTAAACTTAATTATTGTCAAGAAGATGTTTTTAATAGCTAAGCGATCATTATTGTAAGGAAATCGCGCGTGTTACATTCAAATGACCGTTACATTCAATCTTATTAGCACGTTCATGACGGTAATTGACATCGCTGGGCCTTCTTTTATTGTTAGAACGTTTTGTTGCTCATTATTGCAATCGATTATGATTACTTGAAAAGCTAGTGTCTATGACACGCTCACTTCGAACTGACTGAGATGGATTCTCATTCTTTTCAGCCGTGGTTTATTCACTCTCATAGCTATTACATGCGAATATCGTTCTCTTGATGAGTTTTCTCATTCACTTCGTCTCATTTCATTTTACCGTTCAAATAAACTTCTCATTCTGTAGTATATACTATTTACTGGGTGCGTTGACGAGTGTTGACAACCGAAATCAACAATACAACAATCGAATTGAATTGTTCAACAACGTTCGACAGTTAAATGATCAATTATAGAGTGTATTTGATAGAATGAGAATTTTACTTTAATTGCTGAGTGAAATGAATGAGAAATTAGCAAAAGAGAACATTTTTGGTGATAAAAACTATGAGAGCGATTGTAACAGCAAGGAAAAGAATGAAAACCCTGATAAAACGTATGAAAACCCTGTTAGGCCAGGACAAGCTAATGATCTTCAGGAAACAGGAGAATGAAAAGTGTTGCCATCAACCAACCGCATTTACATACCCGACTTGAAAAAACACCACCGCAGTGGTGTTCTATCATAACATAACTGCACGAAATGTTACTTTCCCGACCTCCTCCATTACTCCTTGGCCTTCCAAATTACCCAAGATGGGTAATTTCACCCTCTATAAGGACCACTGCCCTAAACTAATCGTTCAATAATTAAGACTCGATCATCTGCATTCGAACAACCTGGCAGCACCATTCAACAATCCAGTGATGGCACTACGGTGAATCAGCACCACTCAGTTCAGTCTCAGATTTCACCTGCAGAACTCGATCATTTCCCAGTTCAAGTATCTTCAAATTCCTCATCGAAGGATTCTCCTACGTATTCTTCATCGCAGTCCACGTGTTCGTCATCAGCATCTATGTGCTCAACCTCAGAATATTCCTTATTGTCTCATCAATCAACGAACAGCCCAAAAAGTGAATCGATACCATATTCCAATGATGATTTGTCAGTGATTCAAGCACCTAATGGTGTTAAAAGACGACGAAAAAGCTCATCAGATCACGATGACAGGCAGCAAGTACTCATGCCTTTGTTCCCGTCAACAAATTCACTCTCACATCCTATTCCGGAACGGTGGGTTCATTTGCTTTGATTTGAGCTCAACTGTGTCTATTTGATGATATAATTGCGCATGTCTATGGATGGAAAAGCGATATGTTTACAAGAAAGAACAAGGGCTGTCGGTTGCGAAAGTATGGAAAGTTGAAAGCTGTAAACTCGCTTAAGCATGAGAGCACTAGGGGAGCGCACTACTGTTAAGAAAAATTCAGTAAAAGTATCGCCTAAAGGTGATATAGGTTTACTCAAATGTTTTGCAGTAAAGCACAATACTTGATCTTCCATAAGACGATGTGACCAGTGTGGTGTGGGGATCGGAGAATTTCGGGGACCTCATCCCCAACTTTTCTTGAATGGACGACATCTTCGGAGTCCGCCACTGCAAAATTTCGTCCCTGATTTTCCCCGTCCTCGACTTTTTTCCGTCCCCGCACCACACTACATGTGTGTATGTGATTAATCGAGTTGTCAGTTACATTTTGGCGAAGAAAAGTTGATTATTTACGTAGTTAACAAACTAAATGTTGTATGGATGAATATATGATTAATCACATACTGTTTGAATCATTTTTGGTAGAAGTGTGAGTTGCTTGAATTGACTTCGAATGTTCATTTCAGCACCAACCTTGACCAAGCAACAGCATCAGTGACGAACACTTTCACTCACTTTGCGAATCAGCGAGTTTTACCAATGAATAATGCTGCCTTGCAAAGACAGCAATATCAGCAACACCTTCTGGGCCAGTTCTTGACAGACGCGAACGCTGTGAATGTGAAACAGCATCTTCAACAGCAAATTTCACCACTAATATGGCCCACTTTAGCAACGGCTGATCTGTTCATGCCTTGCGGTGCAAATCTGAATGGCATTGGTAACCCGTGGATCAGTGGTCTGTGGCGACCATTTTGAGTCATTATCATTAGTTGTTTTTTCATTATTGTTCAATCTTGATGAATTGTTCATTTCTCATTTACAGTTTAAAGGTTATTGGTTATTTATTCATTGGATTGGATGCGAGTACAAATCGAAAATTATTTCGTTTTAATTTTGTGAATGATTTGTTTGTTTTCTCAATCTCATCGATTATCACGTGAATACGGCTCAATTCTCGGCTTAGATACATATGCACGTTGTTTTTCTTCCATTGTTCTTGGAAATTTTTTATCTGTGATTAATGAATCTCATCATGTTTATTTTTGGAATGTAATTGAGTACTATTGATGATGGCAATAATAAAAGCAATGATAATATATCAAATTTCGTACTGAACGCTGCTTTTGTTTGAATGTGTTTCGTTGAATTTTTTTCTTGTTGACCGATTGCTTTGTCATATTTTGATCAGCAAAAAAAATTTTTGAGAAAAAGTGAAATAAACTTTGGTAATAATGTTGCGTTGTTTAGCGTTTTAATTTTATAGCATCTTAAACGACAACATATTATGTTGAATTCGATGTTAACGCATGATTTAGGACTGCAGTCGATTTCATGAATGTTAAAGTTGTGGTTTGGTAAAAACTGTGAACTGAGAAAACGTAAACGACCCACACCCATGCCTTATCTCTCTGCGTCGTTTTGAATGGATGATTTTGACAATTTACGGAATTGCAAAAGTATAATAATATGATTTTCCGAGAAATCGAGTGAGCATTGGTAATGCGCTGTCATTCTTCTATGTTTCTTCCCTTTGTGTATAAGCCAACAAGATCGTGGTAAATGGCATAAGGTATGGAACTGAGAGGCGTCATCACAAAAAAAAAATATTGAGCAGTTGAGCGATCACTGACGTTTACAGCACGTCAACATGATGAAACAGACTAACAAGCTGCGATGATCTTGGTTAAAATGATGGTAATAATGAGGATATGCTTATATGATTACAATACTGATAAGGTAATGGATAATAGTCTGTTTTAAAAATATGTTGCCATTATTATTGCTATCAAGATACGCTATTATTGTCCGTGCGCTTGAAAAGGGAGATTTCTTCACCCGTCTCGTGCATTTTGAAACCAGTATTCCTTATGACTGGAATTGTGATTGACAAAATCATCAAAACAAAATAATTTTTTGCCTTGACCAGTCTTGGTCATTGATTATTCAATCTGGAACGTTCAATGCTGTTACAATGTCGCATATTCCGGTCCTAAATTTCCATAAAGCCTTGTGATCGGCATCAAGCAATGAGACGAAAGAGCTGAGGAAGTGTGGAAACAAGTCATAATTTAGTCCTATTTAAGTCTTGTGTTTGCCACCAACTTGACACTGACATTACAAATATGGTATGTAGTTCACAATTATCTCCAGCCTTTGATATCATTTTTTAAATCAAAATATTGAAATGTCGATGCTATTCTCTATGATTGGAACTAAAAATGTTGAATAATCTCAATTCGAAGTGAATGTTTGCATTTTCGAATCAAAATGATAGAATTCTCTTATAAAGATCATGAATTGATCTTAAAAAGGTGGGGATGCGAAGGGAGATAAGGATGAGTGATTGAGTTTATAGTTTGAGAGGATTGATTCTCAATGATTGAACAGGTGTTTTGGCCGTTCAATCATTATTCGAAGGCAATTTGTTTTTATGTTCAGCCGCTGATATAAATCATTAGAGCTTAAACATAATGGCTTGCATTATCATCCTGTTCAGTCGTTCTTTTCGGATAGCATTTCATCAACTCCTTGAAGAATTTCTTGTTTGTCTATTGATTACTCCTCACATATGTTGATTTTTTAACAGTTCTTTCCATTCTAATCCAATTTCCGTCCATTCTACGATATGAATTTATTCCGTTCTGTAAACTCCTCCAGTACTCCATTATTTTGCAATCGAAATGAACTCTTTTTTTCCTTCAGCTATCTACTCGGAAAGGTGATCTCAAAATGCTGAGATTACTCATAATATTGGTAATATTCACATCGAACCTTCCAGTGTTACAATCAATGGCAAATAAAATGGCAAAATTACAAGGTTTGCAGAAATGTTTTTAATGAGTTCTGATTTCACTTGGTAATTATTCCTTCACTACCCAATCTTTCAAGCTCATAATTTTGTGATAGCATCATTGGTGAATGCTGACAAATGGTCATTCATTTATAGATGACGATCACTGTTATATTCTCATATTTGTGACCGAAAACAAACGATTTGGTGCATGAGAAGAAATATTATACATTTGAGATATGCATGGCGTTGTCATTCCACCAACAAACTCGATTCATTCAGCAATAATATTCTAAAACTCTGAAGGCAGTGATGAGACAATTTCTTGAGTCTGACAGATGAATGATACTAGCCATTACCGGATAAATGCTCATAAAGCCAATATATTACCGTAAGAAATGCAGCTGAAAAAATACATCTTAGAAATTCATTTTTCTCAATCGTATTTCATGAGTACCTGATTAAATCACCTGCGCATGCAGGTGATTGTTTCCATGTGATCTTGTAATAGATCAGATTTTATTTCAATGCTTAAGGATGTGGTGTAAAAGGGCGTCTCGTTTGCGGAAAGGTTCCATTGGTAGGTGCTAAGGTGAAGTTAATCGACGTTGATTTAAGTAAGTCTTGGACACAAAACTTACAAATGCAATCTTTTCAAACTGTTTTCTGAGATATCTCAAGCTGAGAATCAATCCCTCGATATTTGCACACCAACATGATTGACTTGTTCCATCTTGATGATGCTTTCATAGAGCCCGATATTGATGACCTTTTGGCCGAGAATTACACGGATTCGAATGGCCAGTTCCAGCTGAACGGTGCTACCCGAGAAATGTCGACGATTGAAACACTATTGAAGATTTATCACGACTGCGATGATGGCATAAGAGTGAGTTTCATTGTTTCTCAACTGTTCAGTCCCTGGACTTCATCACCTTTCATTTATCTTTTCATAAGTTGTTTGCCTGCGGGTAGTACAGTCGAAGAAGATCTGGATTTAGACTTACAATTAGCAGGTAGGTGGATGAATGATCGATCGAAGTGACCTGGTGTGATCAAATGACATTGTGGCAGCAGTTTAAAATATTCAGCGCTCTTGAAAGATGAACATTAATACAGCGGGAGCTCACCTGAGAATGCTTAAGAAATCTGTTTCTCTGAAAGCACATTTTGAAATGCTGGGTTGCTTCATGATAATCTGCTGAACTGAGAATTTAATGGGAAGAAGCGGATATATTAGGACAATCATGAGCACGAATTGAATAAGAGTGGCATAAAATTTCGTCAGTAGGGTTTAGGAAAGTGGCATGATATAATTGGAGTAGAATGTAGTCAACAGCAGAGAGATGAAATAGTTACAATTCAAAATCGACAAGTGACAGTGTGGAGAGCATCTATCATTATTCATAAAGCATTCATGTTGAGGTAATCACTCAATAGTCTCAAATTTGCATGCGAAAATGCAGGTTTTTCAATTATGTAAAGGACACCTTAAGCTATCACATTGTTAAGATCGAGCTAAAGTTTTTAGCCGTGTCAACGTAAGATAATGTGGCATATTCCGTCAAGTTATCATCATGAGGGCATCCTCAAAGAATATTTCGATATCGGAACGGTCAACATGGAAATAGGGTTCCCTGGTGAGGAACGGGACTGTCGTCACTGAACATAAGTAAGCATACAAATATCATCAGTGTTGGGCGCGCTATCGAAGAACGATAGCGCGCTATCGCTATTCCGCTATCGAAAAGACTTCCGCTAGTCCGCTACCGCTATCGCTATTACCCACCGAATCGATAGCGGAGCGCTATCGCTATCGCTATCGCCTACTTTAAAAACCTCATTACACCACTAAATGATTCAAAATTTTCATTAATCAACACGCATTTTTGAATTAAATGTGAGAAACATTACGAAAGTAGATTTTCACGAGAAAATAAATTTTATTTTATAACAATAGGACATATTTAAACATTAAAAAAGTTTAAAACAATAGAAC